GGGAGGAAGTTGTTCTTCCGGGATAGCGCTACTGCTTCCGGGCCTGCTCATGTGGCCTGGGGTTGTGGTGCTCCGCGTCTAGGATCGTGCGGAGGGAGCTAAGAATTCACCCGCAATGAGCTTCCTCAAAAGCTTCCCGCCGCCTACGTCGGAAGACGGGCTCCGGCTGCAGCAGCCAGACACCGAGGCTGTGCTGAACGGGAAGGGTCTCGGCTCCGGGACCCTTTACATTGCGGAGAGGTAGGGTCCCCGGGCTCCGGCGCTGGCCTCCTTCGGGGGCTCCTTCCTCCCTTAGGCACGACCTCGGGGCTGCTGCGGGGAGCGGGGAGCGACGCTACGAGTATGGTGGTTGAGAGGGTTTCCCTCTCCCGATCCCACCTGGCTCTGTTCTCTAGACGGTGTTTCTCCTTAACGACTTGTGCTTTTTACCGGCCTGTCTTCTGGAGCCTGGCGCGTGGTCACGTTTAGAGTTTTGAGTCTGCAGAGCCTATGTTAGTTCTCGATGTGCCTGGCTTTCTGAATAATCGTGTGAGCTACCTGTTTACCTGCGTAAGATATGTGAGTTCAGTGTAGATTGTGAAGGGTTTGGGACCTTTGGTTAATGAGCATGGATTTTTCTGCTCAAGGTGTGGGTGGGGAAAAAGAGCATCTTCAGGCCCACGCAGGGCGGGGTCATAACCAGCTGGCCCTGACTCCGGTCCTGGAAGGAATCTTACTGTTGTTTGACTATCTACAGCGCTTTGTACTTTCACAATAAGGTAGACACGTCACTGGAACACACACACACACTCTCTCTCTCTCTCTCTCTCTCTCTCTCTCTCTCTCTCTCTCTCTCCTCTCTCTCTCTCCCCTCTCTCTCCTCTCCTCTCTCTCCTCCCCCCTTCCTGTCCTTCAGAGTGTCTGATTTACCTTCTGCTATATTTCATTTGTCCTCCACGGAGTACATCCTCTGCTTTTAAAAGCTCGTGTTATAATATTGGGCCTGACTAGAAAATCCAGGCTAGTCCCCTTATTTCACCATCAGCTGATTGTCACCACAGGGGCCGAGAGAGAGAGACAGAGACAGAGACAGAGAGACAGAGAGAGAAGGTATTAGAATGACTTACAGGGTATGGTCCAGCTAATCCAACAATGGCTGCCAATGAATGGAAAGTATTACAGGGTATGGTCCAGCTAATCCAACAATGGCTGCCAATGAATGGAAATTTCAAGAATCCAGAAGTTGCTCAGTCCAAGAGGCTGGGTCTCTCAGCAGATCTTCAGTGGATGCTGGAATCCCATTTCAAGATCAGTATTAAAGTCTTTCTGCCTCAAGATCCAGATTAGAAGTGGATTTTCCAATGGGTGCTGGTGCTGCATGCCTTTAATCCCGGCACTAGGGAGGCAAAGGCAGATCTCTGTGAGTTCAAGGGCAGCCTGGTCTTCGGAGCGAGTGCCAGGACAGCCTCCAAAGCTGCACAGAGAAACCCTATCTCGAAAAACAAACAAAAAAGTTACTTTTGAGCTTAGAAACAATGCCTCTTTGCATGTCATTCCAAAATTAATTTTAAACCAATTAAGGTCAGGGTCTCTTACTTTTCTGTACTGTTTTTAACTCTTCACCAGAATTAAAAGATACTGCTTGTCCTTATTCATAAGTGTCAGAGTTTAACAAAACATTTTTCAACTGGTGTTTACTACTCTTTTAGTTCTTGTACTTGCATTTATGACATTTTGTTTTGTTTTTTATGACTGGTCATAGTTAATTGTATATCTTGGTTTTGGAGTACTTCTAGAATCTGTGACAAGAGACAAAGCAGGGTTAGAACTTAAGTCAAATAAGTATTGCTTGCAAGTGCCACATCCATTCTTCATGAGCCTCTCAGAGGAGCACTGTGCAGAGACAAAATGCTGTCATTCTTAGGGGCTAGATAATGATTTCAGCCTCTAAACCAAAGGCCATAATTTGCTAGACACTGATTTGATTTAGATGCTAACTTTTCCACTGCCCGGTGGAGTTAATAAAGGTTTTTTGGCTCTGAATATTTGAAATTATTTTTGGATGGGTAAATCTGAATGTTCCATTCTAAATTGTGGTCATGTCAAGAGATTTTGGAGGTGAGAAAGGAAACATAGTTTGCTAGGTCTATTCTCAGTACCCATGAGCACTGTTTCATTCCCACATTAGAGAAGAGCTGTGTGTGGGAAGGGAGGATACGTGCAGCACACAGTCAGTTACATAAGAAATCTGTTCCGTTACAAGCAGTAGGGACGAAATAATTCCTCAAACTATTTTTTCCCCCTGAGATAGGGTTTCTTTGTGTAACAGCCCTAGCTGTCCTGGAACTCACTTGCTCTGTAGACCAGGCTGGCCTCGAACTCACAGAGATCTGCCTGCTTCTGCCTTCCTAGTGCTGGGATTAAAGGTATTTGTCACTCACTACCTAGTTATTTTGAGACCTGGATTCTGTGTAGCCTAGACTGGCCTGGCATTCATTATGTGGCTCAGGTTAGCCTTGAACTTAACAGCAGTTGTCCTATAGCAGTCTCCAGAGCGCTCGTATTATACCTGTGATCCATGGTCAGCTTGTCAGAACTGTATGGAAAGTAGGGTGAGGCTGAGTATGGGGGCACAGGCTTGTAATTCCAGCACTTGCCATGTGGAGTCAGGAAGAGCAAGAGGAGAGTCTAGAGTTTGTGATTATGGCTGGGCAGGGTGGAGCAGGTCTTTAATCCCAGCACTGGAGGCAAAGGCAGGCAGATCTCAGTGAGTTCTGAGAGTCAAGCCTATTTAGAGACCTTGTCTCCAAGAGGGGAAAAGGATCATGGCCAACCTGGGCAACAAGCTAACATGAGCTAAATGTCAAAGCTGGAGGAATGGGGAGGGAGGGAGGAAGAGAATAAGGAGGAAGAAATTGGAGAGGGTACAGGATATGCATATGTTCTGCAGAGGTATGTCCCTATTCCTTTAATTTCTGTTTTAAGTTTTAATTAGTATACAGTAGTTGTATAAAAAATGACTTTTATTAGGATATTCCCTTTTAAAGTAGCATTATTGACATGGTTTCCATGCCATACAACTTATTCATTTCATTCATAGAAGTTAATGGTTTTTATTATGCACTTTTATCTTCACTCAGTCTTAGAACATTTTGTTGTAGCCCCCCAAACAAACAAACAAAAAACCCAATGCTCATTTTAGTAGTTGTTCCCTGTTTCCTTTCAGCTCTGAAAATGTTTTTGTGGCTTTTTTGGGATCTTGCCTCCTGCCAAGGTCTTTTCACTGGTTTTTTCTAGATTGTACAATTCATGTGGGAGAAATACTGCCAAGAAAAATTAGGCATCATCTGTTAAAATTCAACCTACTAACTTTGGTGATATGTTTCCTTTGTTATACCATTAAAATATTTGTGCACTTTTAAGGGGAAAGTGTTTTGTGGCTTTTTGTTTTTCTTTGTTTTTAAAAATGTTATATTTTATTTGCATGGTATTTTGCCTGCATGTTTGTCAGTGTATCATGTGTGTCCCAGGTGCCTGTCAAGGCCAGAAGAGGGTGTCAGATCTCCTGCAGCTGGAATTACAGATCATTGTGAGCTTGGAATGTGGGTGTTTGGAATCGAACCTGAGTCTTCTGGAAGTGTTCTTTACCACTGAGCTGTGTCTCCAGCCCCTGTAGCTTTTTCTTAAAGCTGGTAATAAATGGGAACTTTTATCTTGTCTCCTAAGGTAATAGTAAATTTTTTTTTGAATTGTGATTGCAATCACATCTGTTTTGTATATATATCATTTAATATATGAGGTGTGGAAAGGTTGATGACCATTTATCTTGCATGCTTACCTACGAAGAACTGTGCTAACATTTTTGAAGAATGTTGAATAAAGGGATGGAAGTAACAGAGTACAAACATGGTTCATTAGCCTACTTAGTGCTAATGTGTGTTACCAAGCACAAGTGAAGTTTGGAACAGAAGTGGTCCTTGTAAAAAGGAGGTCTCATGGAGTTATTGGGGACTTGACTAGGTGAAAAGATCTGTACAGCAAAGAGGGTAATGGAGACATTCTAAACAAGAATGAGCACAAGAAACAAGCACAGGGAAGGGGCTGAGAGCTGCTCTTTCAGAGGACCGTAGCTATATTACCAGTACCCACATGGAGTGTCGACAGTCTCCCTTACCTTCAGCTCCAGGGGATCTGATGCTCTCTCGGCATCCACCAGTATCCACATGCATGTACACATAGTGGAGAAATAAACACGGATGACTTGCCTCTCAATTCTGTTTGAATTTATATTTAGAGGGAAAAAAACATAAAAGAAAAAATTCAGTTCTTGTTACAAAATTTTCTTATTTTAAGGAGTATTTCTAATATTGTCAATAAATTTGAATTTCTTTCCATGCATAAAAGTGTCCTGGTTGAACATTTATATATTTTGGAATATTAAGTTATGATTTAATTTTTAAAAATAATGTGCCTAAACCATGTTTTTCAGCCGCCTGTCTTGGTTAGATGGTTCTGGATTAGGATTCTCACTGGAATACCCCACGATTAGTTTACATGCTGTTTCCAGGGACCCAAATGCTTATCCTCGAGAGCATTTGTATGTTATGGTGAATGCCAAATTTGGAGGTATGTATGGTGTAATGTAATGTAGTGCTTCCTCTGATAGCAAAGTATATTTTAAGGGACAGTGTTTGTTTTGAGATGAAGTCTGACAGATTAGTTGCTGTCAGTCCTGAACTCCTGGGCTTGAGTAACTGTCCTCATCCTCCCAGATACTGACATTTTAGGTGTGCCACTTTACCAATCTAAAAAGCAATCTTTGATGATGTAAATTTTAATCCAGTGACCCACATTGCATAATATCATATTAAGCAAAATTAAATTACCTAAAATAATTGGCCATTTGAATTTCTTCTAATGGGAATTGGGTTTGTGTATATCTGCCTTTTATTTCCTATATATTTTTACTTAGAACTCTTCTATTAATATGAATATATTTCTTTTTTTTTTTAAAGATTTATTTATTTATCATGTATACAATGTTCTGCCTACATGTATGCCTACAGGCCAGAAGAGGGCACCAGATATCATCATTACAGATGGTTGAGTCACCCTGGGAATTGAACTCAGGACCTCTGGAAGAGCAGCCAGTGCTCTTTACCTCTGAGCCATCTCTCCAGCCCAATATTAATATATTTCTACTTTTTGTTTTAACTGCTTATTCTTTCTCCTTCTAAAGGCACTTCAGAGATGTGAACCAGTATATTTTGTCTATACAGAAATTTATTGTTTCTATTTATTTAGTTTACCGATGTATATGCAAGTGGGGGTTAGTGCCTGCATTTATGTCTGTGTACTGTTTGCGACTGATGCCAGAAGATACCAGAAGAGGGTGTAAAATCCCCTAGAAACTGAGTTACAGACTATGTGTATGTGTTTGTCTGTGTGAATGTATGTGTGTGGATGCTTGCAGAGACCAGAAGAGGACGTTGGATTCCTTGGAGCTGGAGTTACAGGAAGTTTTAGGCTAAACAATATGGATTTCGGAAACTGAACTTATAGAGCAGTGTATTAGCTACTTTTCTATTGCTGTGCCAAAATACCATGACCAGCAACTAAAGAAAAGAGTGACTAATTGGGCTAACGTTCCAGAGAGGCAGACGCTATGATGGTGGAGCAAGGCAGGCAGCAGGGACAGCCCAGAGCTCACATCTCAAACCACAAGCAGAGGCAGAGACACACACTGGAAATGGCAGGGGTTTTTTGAAACCTCAAAGCCTATCCCCAGTAACACACCTCTTCCGATAAGGCTACACCTCGTAATCCTTCCCAAATAGTTCCTCTAACTGAGGACCAAGTATTTAAACAGATGAACTTATGGGGGCCATTCTCATTCAAAGCACCCCAAGAAACAAACACTCTTAACCATTGAGCTATCTCTCTAGGCCCATAATTGTTTTTATTTTGTTATGGTGGTGATTCTCAATAGATGGGTAAGGAGAATTTTTTGTGCTGCCAGTGGTTGGTGAAATTATAATTGGAGGAGGAGGGATGCTACTGGCATCTAATAGATGCCAAATTCCCTGCAACAAAAATTATGTAGTGCAAAAACGTCAGTAGTCTAGAATTTCAGAACCTTTGAATTACAAGGTTCCCAAGTTTTAGTGTGCAAAAAAATATAATTAAGTTGTTAAGATAATGGATAGTTCTTCTCTGAAATCTTGTATAACGGACAGTCCCATTAGTTTGTTCCTGACACCTTCCAGTTGGGGTTTTCTCTTGGTTCCAGATCTAATCATTTTTATTTAGTTGTGAACACTAGTTGCTAGTTTTTAGAACTCTGGCAAGCCATGTGTTATTTAATGATATTGACTAATCCAGCTATCCAAAAATATTCTCACTATAAGACTTTAAATACTTGCTGTTGGAAAGGGTTCAAAGGTAGATTAAAAAGTAATAGATTTGAGCCAGGCAGTGGTGGTGTATGCCTTTGATCCCAGCACTCGGGAGACAGAGGCAGGAGAATCTCTGTGAGTTCAAGACCAGCCTGGTCTGCAAGAGCTAGTTCTAGGACAGCTTCCAAAGCTACACAGGGAAACCCTGTCTAGAAAAACCAAAAGTAAAATAAAATAAGAGATTTGAAAAAGGATAAAGAAATGTTAAAAGTTCTTAGATATTGGAGTATAGCATGACTTCCTAATGAGGTATTAAGCACAAAGTTCACTTGGTTGACAGAAGGAGAGGGATTGTATGTATGTATGTATGTATGTATGTATGTATGTATGTATGTATGTATGTATGTGGCTCACAGTTTCAGAGATATTTCAGTCCATCTTAGTGGAGAATACATGGCGGCGGGCATGTGAGGCAGCAGCTGTCCACTTGGCAGCAGAGAGAGTAGCATCAGAACCAGGGGTGGGTAGACCCTTCAGAAGCCTGGCCCTAGTGCTGACGTCTGGGCAGCGAGTATTCAAGACATGTGGCTGTGGGAACATTTTAGAACTCAACCATAACACCAAGTAAATGCAACTATGATTTTTATAATTGTTAATTAGTATACTATTTTTATGACAAGGGGGGACTTATTTTGGCTTGTGAGTCACAGATTTCATCCAATTCTCACTTGACCCTGTTTCTTTCAACCTGTGTTGCCATAGTATATCATGGCAAGAGCACATGGTTGAGGAGGCTTTAAGGTAATAAATAAAAGATTTGCTCATATTATGACAGCCAGAAAGCAAAACTTAGAGGACCTGGAGTTCCCATTTGCCCCTTCAGGATAAGCCACCAGTGATCTAACTTTCTGCATGGCCTCACCTGCAGATTTTAACGTATACAAGCACCACAGGCTGGTGACTAAACCTTTAATATTCGGGCCCTTTAAATCACTCAAGACCCTAAACATAGCAGTAAGTAGGAAAATTAGGTGTTGTTTAAAATGCAAAACTTTAAAAGTACTCTCTCTCTCTCTCTCTCTTCTTTTCTTTTTTCTTTCTTTCTTTCTTTCTTTTTTTTTTTTTTTTGGTTTTTCGAGACAGGGTTTCTCTGTGTAGCTTTGGAGCCTATCCTGGGCACTCGATCTATAGACCAGGCTGGCCTCAAACTCACAGAGATCTGCCTTCTGAGTGCTGGGATTAAAGGCGTGTGCCACCACCACCCAGGTTCATTCTCTCCCTTCTCTCCCTCTCCCTCCCTCCTTTTCTCTCCCCTCCCTCTCTCTCCCCCTTCCTCCCCACTCCCTCCCTTTCTTTCTCCCCTCCCCCCCCTCTGTCCTGAAACTCACTCTGTGGACCAGGCTAAACTCACAGAGATCTACCTGCCTCTGCCTCTTGAGTGCTGGGATTAAAAATGTGCGCCACCACTGCCCAGCTTAAAAGTACTCTTGTCAGTCAGTCCAAATGCTGATGATGAATTGGAGCCAGTGGTGTGGCTCAGTAGTGTGATATGTGTTTAGCATATGTGAAATCCTGAGTTCAAGTTCTACCACCAAAACCAAAATAAATGTTGCTGCACAATCCCCCAACTTTTACTTGTCCAGCAAAAATCTAGTGAGGTAGGTATTCGGTAATACTAGATAAGAGGATAAAGCACCCCTAGTAAATAAACTGTGCCTCACTTGCCAGGTGTTGAGTCATTTTCTCATGAGTCTCAGTTTCATTAAAAAACAAAAAACACAACTCTAGACGATTATGTTAGTCTCACTTTCCACATGGCCTCATCTCTTAAAGAGTCTGCTGATTCCTAGTAGCACCACAGGCTGCTGACTAAACCTTTAATGATGGTTTGGAGCCTGAGTGCTGCTGGGTTTTGTTCATGCTGAGGTTTAAACCCAGTGCCTCGCTTATCCGTGTTTTCATACTATTCTACACTGAACTTACATTAAATAAGTACTGCATTAGTGGATGCCCCTTGTTTACCTTGTCAACTTTACTGGATGGGGAAAACAAGTAAAATGCACTTGTGTGTATCTGTGATGGTATACAGGTATTTCCAGAGACATGTCGCTAAGGAAGTTGAGGGGAAGAAGCCCAGATGTGCCCAGATGGACAAAGGAGGAGGCCTGTTAGGGTGGGCGTTTTCACCCCCCCACACACATACTTCTGCCCTTGCTGTTCTACACTCTGCTTCCTGGCTGCCATGAGGGAAGACTCTCTGCTCCATCTGGCCCTCTCTGCCTTGATTTGGTTCCCTAACATGGAGCCACTGCCCATGGTCAGCCTCTGACACCAGGAGCTAAAATCAGTCCTTCTTCCTTTCTGTTGATTCATCGGTATGTTGTCACAGTGATGAAAACTGACACAGCCCCTGCAAGTAGATTTCCCGTGTTAACAAGTGTTTCTCTGCTTTTTCTTCATCTGCATGGATGATTATTTTTAATGCTAGCTTTAAATGTAAAAGTTTATTCTTTTCTTCCTTGCCCTAGCTAAGGGTTGAGCCCAGGGCATGGAACATGCTAGACAAGCACTCTACTACAGAGTTACATCCCCAGCCTCCCCCACCCCACCCTGCCCACCCCTTTTTAATTTTTGTTTTGAGATGGTCTTGCTAAATTGCCACAGTTGGCATCTAACTATGAATGTTCCTCCATTACCCTCCTGAGTAGCTGGGACTATAGGCATGTTCCACCACATTAAGCTCAATTTGTATTTATGTTTGTGTTTGTAGTATGTGTGTGTGGAAGCCAGAGAACAACTTTGGATTTGGTTCTTTCCTCCTTTAAATAGGTACTAGGGATCACACACAGTTCAGTAAGCAGAACCACCTCATCAGCCCTTAATTTGTGTTAAGTTTGCTATCTAACTCAGTAGTGTAAGCAGAACCACCTCATCAGCCCTTAATTTGTGTTAAGTTTGCTATCTCAGCAAACATGTTTGCTGTTTGGTGGGCTCAGTTTAAATATTTTATTGACCTGTTTTTCATAATAAAGTGGTTCAAACATAGAATAATTTTTCTTACTTTGAGACAGGATTTCTCTTTGTAGTCCTTCCTGTCTTATAACTAACTCTGTAGACCAGGCTGGCCTCCAATTCCTAATTGCTGGGATCAAAGGTGTACACCACCACCACCTGGCTAGAGTAATTTTCTAATATTTAGTATCCAGTGTCAATTCTGTCACATTTCCCTGATTACTATAAATTTTTAAGGGAAACAAAACACTGTTGAAAGCTGCCCCTTTTTCAGGGGCAGGGTGTCTTTATGTCCTGGCATTCACTGTATACACCATGCTGGTCTTGAACACACAAAGATCTACTAGCCTCAGCCTCTGCTAGAATTAAGGTTGTGTGTCACTGTGCCCAGTTTGAAAGCTGTTTTGTGTAGATCTTCATTTCATCCTCTACTGTCTTACTCAAGTTAAACAGTATTGTAAAGGTAGTGTGTCTGCTTCCTCTATGTGCTTTGTATTATTATTATTATTATTATTATTATTATTATTTTATGTATATGGGTGCTTTACCTGCATATGTGTGCATCACATGTGTGCATGGTGCCTGTCAAGGTCAGCAAGAAGGAGGTAGATACCCTGGCACTAGAGTTATAGACAGTTGAGAGCTGCTGTGTGGTTAAATGAGCCTGGGTTCTCTCGCTTTTAACTTTTACTGAATATGTATATGCCATCAACCAATGTAATGGTTTTATGTTTAAGATTTTAATTAAATGGTATTGTGTATTCTTCAACTAACTTTTCATCCAGCTCTTTTTTAAAATGTATCTGTGTTGATACATATATGGCACTGTTTGTTCATTTTTTCCAGTGCAAAGGCTTAAACCCAGGGCCTACTGTGCAAAATGACTACTCTACCACTAACCTATTATTTTCAGCTAATTCTCTTTGAATGTTTTTGTTATATCTACAAACTGTTGATTTATTTGCTGGTAGATTAACTTTCATGAACTTGAAATAGTCTCACTTGAATGGTGTTGTATTCTCTGTGTGTTACAAGTGCTTTGCTGCTGAGCTCAGCCCCAGAACCTTTTCCAACTCTAAAGTAACCAGCAGCAAAAAATTGAATTGCAGTATTTAGATATACCAATACATTTCCTAGACTTTTCTTATTTTCTTATTTTATTTATGTATTTTTTGGTTTTTTGAGACACGGTTTCTCTGTGTAACAGCCCTGACTGTCTGGGAATTCAATTTGTAGACCAGGCTGGCCTTGAACTCAGAGGTCCACCTGCCTTTGCCTTCCAAGTGCTGGAATTAAAGGTGTGAACTACCACCACCCACATCAGGTGACTCAAAGTGCTTCTAACTGCAGTCCAGGGCATTCTGATGCCCTCTACATATTGTACACATAAGTTTATGCAGACACACATAAGTAAATCCTAAAAAAACCTTTAATGTCTAAAATGATTATTTTTATTTCTTTTATAGAAGAATCAAAAGAATCTCTCTCTGATGAAGATGAGGAAGACGGTGATGATGTTGAACCCATTGCTGAATTTAGATTTGTGCCCAGCGATAAGTCAGCATGTGAGTGTTCTGTAGTATTGATCTTTTCTCTTTATGTTCTCCTCTCCAGCTGGTAATACACACACCTCTCACCTTCATTATGGTCACCTCCATTCTATTGCTTTATCTTCATTTTGGTCTCCTTAAAGTCATTGAGAGTGGCTACTTACTAATGTCAAAAGTTGTGAATATAGTATGAATATTGTGGACAGCGTAGTACCTGGTCTGATTTTTGCAAGGAGGATTCTGGTTAGTGTTATTGACTGATGTTGCTCACTGAATGTCACCTGTGGGAAGCACTTCCAAAGCTGGAAATACTGAGACTGATGGAAAGTAAAGTATCCTGTCATTCGATGGGAGCTTTACCCCCCCTTTTTTTCTTAAATATTTATGTATTAATATATTTATTTATTTATTTATTTATTTATTATGTATACAGTATTTGGTCTGCATGTATCCCTGCCTACCAGAAGAGGGCACCAGATCTCATTATGGATGGTTGTGAGCCATCATATGGTTGCTGGGAATTGAATTCAAGACCTCTGGAAGAGCAGCCAGTGCTCTTAAGCCCTGAGCCATCTCTCCAGCCCCGGGAGCTTTATCCTAATCAGCAGTGTGACCAATGCTCTGACCTCTTCTCTCTCTCTCTCTCTCTCTCTCTCTCTCTCTCCTTCTTTCCCTCCCTCTCTCCTTCTCTCTTTTTCTTTTCTTGTCAGGGTCTCTATGTAGTTCTGGCTGTTCTAGAACTAGCTGTGTAGACCAGGCTGGCCTCAAACTCACAGAAATCTATCTGCTTTTGCCTCCTAAGGGCTGAGATCAAAAGTGTCAGCCACAACATTTGGCTTGGCCTATTTTTTTAAATCTAACCTCCCATGAAGAGATCTCGGTAATACCTTGAACTCTTACTTTGTGACTTGTTCATTGTCTCAGACACTTTTGGAATAGGCTGTGCACTTTGCATGATCAATTTTTATTTGAACTTTGCAGAATTTTATAAATATGGTTATTCTAGTAAACCTTTTGTCTGCTTTTAAATTTGTTTGCACTGATGATTATTTATTCTAAAACTTTGTGGTCCACTGGAAAAGAAGTATTAGTTATAATTTAATGTCTTTGTTCAGTGGAGGCAATGTTCACCGCAATGTGTGAATGCCAGGCCTTGCACCCAGATCCTGAGGACGAAGACTCTGATGATTACGATGGAGAAGAATATGATGTGGAAGCACATGGTTAGTGACTTGGGTCTTATGTGTTGGTTTCAGTGCTTCATTTTAAGCACTTAGTTGTACTATGGGCACAAGATTTTAGTTTTTTGTATCTCCATAAAGTTAACAATGTAAGGTGGTTATAAATAAAGGGAATGATACATTGGCTCACTTTGTGTCTAGGCCCTCTCAGTAGACAGTTTGAAGAATGAATGAATTTCCCAAGCTCAGACAACAATAAGAGTATTAGGGTTGGGGGCTGGACAATAGAAACAAATGGGAAAGAAAATTAATAGCTAGAAAGTAGATCGTCAAGAGCATACTTTAGGCTGAGCTGACTGCCCCCACTCTACCTACCCATTGAGAAGTCTGTTCATATGTGTCTCTTCAAACTTATTTTTTATTTATTTTATATCACTGGGTGTTTTCCTTGAGTTTATGTATGTGCAGCACATGTATGGCTGGTGCCCTCAGAGGCCAGAAAAGGATGTGGGAACCCCTGGAACTAGAATTACAGCTTAACTGCCAGCTGGGTGCTGGTAACCAAGCCCCAGTCCCCTGCAAGAACAGCTAATGCTCTTAAATGAGAGTCATCTCTGCAGAGTCCTGTTGATCTCTTTAATCACAAATTTCTTGAAACAGCTTATGGACATTGTAATCTTCTTTTCCCCAGAATCGTACTTCATTTATATCTACAAATACTTCCCCTTGCCTTCCTAGGCCAAGATGCATTCACTCACCTGATAGGCTTGTAGCCTGAGGCACAAACTATTCTATTTGCATTCTACTCTGGTCTTACACATACTGGTAGAAGTATCTGAAGTCTTTTCCTACATATGAATCCAGTTCCTGGCCTGAGACTACCCATTTCTGGGATTGTTTTCACATACATAAGTGTGTGTTCACTTCTTAGAGATTTTTTAAAGTTTTTTTATATTTTGTCCTTTTTATATTTTTTAGAATTTCTGATTTGTTTTAAAAGTAACATGTTAATTCAAAATCCCATCAGTGTCAAATTAATTTGTATTTACTTGTAAAATTCCCACCTTTGGTATAATAAATGATTCATTGATTTTAGAAACACCCTCTTTTCCTTCTAGACCCTAGACCAAGGCCATTCTTTGGGAACTAATATTTACTAGTTTATTATCTCTTAAATGTTTTCTCAGGCTAGAGGGTAGGGACATTTTTTTCTTTTTCTTTTCTTCTTTGAACTCTTTTAAACCTAATCAGTAAATTTTGGAAGTCTTTATGGGAGCCTGTGTATCTTAGGCAAATGCACTATTGTTTATCATTTTGAGTTTTTTCCCCAACTGTTGTGTAATAGCTTAATGAAAGCTTTCTGTTTGTTTAGAACAAGGACAGGGGGACATCCCTACGTTTTATACCTATGAAGAAGGACTGTCCCATTTAACAGCAGAAGGACAAGCCACATTGGAGAGGTTAGAAGGAATGCTTTCTCAGTCTGTGAGCAGCCAATATAACATGGCAGGAGTCCGGACAGAAGATTCAGTAAGAGATTATGAAGGTGAGTTCTCTCTCTTCAGAGTAAGTAAATGGCTGTAAGGAAAATCTTAAACTGGAAGGCAATGAAATATCACAATTAACATAAAAGTCTAGGAAGCAAATGTAGAATTACTAGAATGAGAATGTTTTTTGTTGTTTTGTGTCCTGTTTACCCTTGCCTCCCAAACTGTGTCAACTATACAAATGGCCTAGGGCCAGCAAGATGCTCATCAGGTAAAGGTGCTCTCTGGAAGCTGTATGGTGGGAGGAGAAAACCCACTGTGTCTATTTAGCAGCATAATAGTACGACATCCCTAGGGCCTATGACTGACCCATCCACAAGCTTTTGGCTCAGTTAATGGTACTAGGCATTAGTTCCATTTGTGGGGCAGGTCAAAAATCCAGTCAGAAAGTGTGGTCTCCTTTAACATTCATGCCATTGTTGCACCAGTGGGCCTAGAGCTCTCAGCATTTACAGCTGGGTAAGATTGTCCATTTTCTCCTCCGTTATTGTGGATAGCACCTTCTAGAACTATGAAAGCTAACCAGAGAGATGCTTCCAGGTTGGTGTCGGCTTGCTTTCTCCGTGTTCTATCACTCAGGGATGTGGTGTCTTCGGCAATAGGCTCCTTTCTAGCTTTTTTTTTTTTTTTTTTTTATTACTTCAGATGCACATGGGATGGTCCATGTGTTACTATCAGAGGACGACTTTTGGGAGTTAGTGTTCACTTTCGACATTGTTGAGGCAGGATCTCTTTGGTGGTCTGCATACTATGGGCTTTATGGCCTTTAAACTGGGGGGTGATTCTCCCATCTGTAGCACTGTAGTTGTGCTAGATTCCAGCTCTACATGGATTCCCAGGACTTGGAGCCAGCTCAGGTTATCAAGCGTGCACAGCTATCACTTTGGCTGGCTGAGTCATTTCCCCAGCCTCCATTATTCAGTTTTGGCTCTGAAGGGATGACATTCTTTACCCCAAGTATTGGCAGTACTGTACCTTCTAACCTCAAACTGATTATGTGCCACTCCTGGATTTAACATTTATATGTATTTACTCATTTAATTCTTCTAAGAACTCTGTTGAATAAATTTATGATCCCCATTTTACACATTAGACAACTGAGGCACAGAACAATTGCATTGGTTGAGACCAGACTACTGATAAGTGGTAAGAGGATTAAATGAGCCATTATACAAAAATATGCCTGCCACTGTCAGTTTGCATTTTTGTTTGTTTGGCTGGTTGGATTTTTGTTTTTTTAAAAAAGACAGGGTTTCTCTGAGTAGCTTTGGAGCCTGTCCTGGAGTTTGCTCTATAGACCAGGTTGGCCTCAAACTCACAGAGATTCTCCTGCCTCTGCCTCCTGAGTGCTGGGATTAAAGGCGTGCGCAACAACACCGGGCAATTGCAGGATATTCTTGAAGTGGCTATCTTTAGTTTTTCTTCTATTGGTATACTTACATTTCCCATAATGCTGATTGGTATCTCCATGCATATAGCTTATTGATCCGGGGTTCTTGGAGTTCTGGTCTATTTGGGGTTGGGGGCAAGAATTGTGTCTTACTATATTGCTAATGCTGGTCTCAGACTAGTAAACTCAAGTGATCGTCTTATCCCAGCTTGCAACATTACATATCTAGGTGATAGAGTACCAGGGGTCTTTTGGCAGAAGTTTGTGTCAGATAAAGAATTGAGTGAGTCAGGAGTGAGAAAGTAAAGAAAGCAGCTGTAGACGTTTCTTTTTAGAGCACTGTTCTGTCCTCCTCTCACACCTTTTTAAAAAATTGTATGTGTGTGTATGTATTACTTTACCTGCATATATGTCTGTGCACCAGTTGTTATTAGTATCCTTGGGAGCCAGGCAGGGGGTGTCAGATCTCCTGGCACTGAAATTACAGACAGTTGTGATCTGCCATGTGGGTGCTGGGAACCAAACTTGGGCCACCTGAAAAAGTGTTCTTACCTGCTGAACCATCTCTCCAGCTGTCACCTTTTCAGTGAGGTGACAATAAAGGGGAGATAAAATTCTGTTCTTTTCTTTTTCCCACTATGCTGTGTCTTAGACTTTTTGAATGTAATACCAAATGCCTTTAAATAATGTCTAAAGAATGAACAGTTGATGCCTACTACATTTGAAAATTCCTACTAGCCAGACATCCTAGCACTTGGGAGGTGAGCCTGGACTACACTGTGAGTTTGAGTCAGCCTAGGCTACATAGCAAAACATTGTCCAAGAGATTTAAAAAGAAAAAAAGGAAGGAAAGACATAAGTTGATTCCTACCTAGGATTTCTGGGAGTTGTATGATAGTGTGAATTTACAAAGTGAATGTTAAATGTTTGGACTGCTTTTTACTTGACCTGGATCCACAGGAGCATTTTCCTTTCAGTCTCTTTTTGGGTAATTAGTTTTCACATGGAACGTGTGGAAATGGAGGCATGAGATAGCTTGGTGTGGTGCATCCCTGTAATTCTAGCATGGAGGGACTGGACTGAGGTCAGGAACTGAGGACAGCATTAACTTCGTGAGATGGTATTTCAGAAACAAACAAAATGCCAAAATTTTAAAATCCAGCTATTATTTTTATTTTATACTTTGAAATTGGGTCTCACATGTATCTTTGGCTGGCATGGAACTTACTACACAGTCTAGGCTGGTCTTAAACTCAGTTCTATCTGGCTCTGCCTCTCAAGTGGTGAAACTAAAGATAGGCATTATCATGCCCAGTTTTTAAAATGTTTATTCTTACCACTAGAGGGCATTGGCATCCTTGTTGAATCTGCCTTTTTGTTCAGATGGCATGGAGGTAGATACCACACCAACTGTTGCTGGACAGTTTGAAGATGCAGATGTTGATCACTGAAGATGATTTATGCTGCTAAACAGTGAGTAGCTTATTCTCTCCTTTGTCACAGCACATGAAAATCCTGTGAAATGATTGTTTGGTTTTAACTCACAATTTAAGAGAACTCTGTATAGTGACTGAACTCTGTAAGGTTAGCAGTTTGAAAAAATGTCATACCATCTCTGGTTTATGAAAAATTACATTTTTTTCCCCTAAGAAATCAAAAGTGTGTGAACATTGTAGTATGGGTTTAATATCTGCCAAGCACTACACCAGGATGGTAGAGTACGTGTATGACAAAGAATAAGTGAATTTATGAGAGTAACAGTTGATGGAAGCCATCTGTTCGGAAGCAGACCTCCCTGTTGTCCTGCAGGAGTGACAGCCTAAGCATGTCTTGGTCTGCTCTCGAGTCACTTTTTCTCATTTGTGTTAGTTGAGCCCTGTTCATGGTTTGTTGCACCTTACTGCTTTTCAATTCAGGGAGGAAGTAATGTAATTCCAAACTGAGCTTAAGACATTATAATCTTGTATTGCTGTCATGCTTTCTGGGAGCAATCGGGGATAGATGTCCTATGTACCTTAGTGTTCAAGGCTGATTTGTCCAGACCACGTACAGTCACCCAAAAGCCATTATTTCCCTGAGTTCTTTCCTGTCTGCCCTTCATGGTTGACATACTAGTCTCTGCCAGTTTTGTTTCCTGGCACATTCTGGTAAGCTTTGTCTTAAGTTTGTCCCTGAGTATTTGCTACTCTGCAAACCCTGAGAAATGTATTGGCTTTTCCCGGTGTGAGTAGTTAGGCTGTTCTTTGTTAGATAAGTGAAGGTCAAGGACTAGCAGCTGCAGAGTCCTTTCTTACTATCTGCAAAACTTTTCTTTGTAAAATTGTTGTTCTTTGTTCCCTGTAATAATGTTGTCCTTCCTTCCTTCTAAATACTGGCTGTTTCCCGGCCTGTTAGCCAGTGTTGTCCCGGTCCTTTTATCTTATTAAAGCAAGACAAGACAAAATGTGTATAGTTTGACTTGACGCTGCCACTACCATCAGTCATCTAGTTATGCTTTGACTATCCCATCTAGTTATACCTTCACTATCCCCTACTGTGATTGTGATTCAGTGTCAGAGCACTTGCCTAGCATGCTCCAACCCTTCAGTTCAGTCAGTCCTCAGCTCTGGGGAGGAGAAAATTCCCTTTTGTTCCTTGCTTTGTTCTGGTGTAGATTTCATTCTGAACCTTAAAATTGTCTTTTTTTTTTACTTGGAAATTTGAACTTTTCACTCTTCTACTGTTTTGTTTTAGAAACCAGCCTTTAAAATCCCAGTGTTTGGGCTGTAGAGATGGCTTATTGGTTAGCAGTACTTCTTTTGCAGAGGACCCACATTGCAATTCAGTTCCAGGAGGATCTGACGCTCTCTTCCGGCCTTCACAGGCACTGAATGCACATCTATCTACACATCAATGTTTTGTTTAATTCCAGTGTTTATAAATTGTTATAGTTGTAAAACTATGAATTATAACATTGGTTCTCTGTTTTCTTCTAGTATGGTTATCAAAAAATAATAATAATCTCAAAGAAATTTTGCGCTTCTGTGATTTATATCTCATCCCATAAATATTTCCCTTTCTTGCATCTTTGCTTCTCTCATGTAGTCTGCAGGCAGCAGCATTCTCCTCTCTAACCTCAGAGGCTTTTCACTGGCGCTCAACTAGGTTCAGCTCTCACAGTCCCAGGTGTCACTAACTTCATCTTTCTACTTCATGGAGAACCACCTGCTCCCAGCTGCTCCCAGTTTTGTCACCCTTCATCACACTAAGATTTATTTATTATAGGTGGAGAACCACCTGCTCCCAGTTTTGTCACCCTTCATCACACTAAGATTTATTTATTATAGCCATGTGGTGGTGGTGACGCACGCCTTTAATCCCAGAGGCAGGCCAATCTCTGAGTTTAAGGCCAGCCTGGTCTATGGAGCGAATGCCAGGGCAGGCTCCAAAGTTACATAGAGAAACCCTGTCTTGAAAAACCAAAAGAAAAGAAAAGATTTATTTATTATGTATACAGTGTTCTGCCTGAAGGCCAGAAGAAGGCACCAGATCCTTATAGATGGTTGTGAGTCATCATGTAGTTGCTGAAAATAGCCCTCTGAGCTAGCCCTCATCACAGTCTCGATAGGTTTTGTTGGTTTGTTTGTTTTTTTGCCAGTAGCTGTCATTTGTAAGTGTATTGCCTGGAAGACAGTATTTTATATAATGTGGCTTTCCCATATTTCTTTGAAAAATTGGCTGTTGAGAGATTATCAATCTGTTTGCAGCTATCATGAGAAACTCAATTGATATGTCACTAATGGTTACACACTGGGATTCTTGGATTCTTTGTAATGGTGAAGTTGCTGTGAATATTCTAATGAGTGGCTGTTTGTTTTCTGCTCAGTTTATTCTCTCTGCTCAATGTCAAAGAAATACTATATCCATAAATTTTATTCATGCTCATTTGAATAGTTGACCTGATTTCTAAACAATGTGATTTTTTTAATCATTTTAGATTGTGTGTGCTTTTAAAGCCTGAACAAGGACGAAAATGTTCATGTAACTATTACTGCTTTCAAAATAATGGACCTCTGGGTGCATTAGATAGGGTACAGAATGTCGTGCAATCACAGCTTCACTGGTGACATGTATGTGCACACTACCATCAGGATGTGGCATATATATAACTTAACCATTCCTTGGTTTTCTCATCTGTCAAGTGAGGGGCTTATTACAAGGCCTGAGAAACAGTCTGGAACCCTACAAGGCTAAACAATGGCTATTAGTAATAACACCTATGAACCTTTTGTCTTTCAGATTCTCTTATAACAGTAGGCGAGAACTTGGTACCTCTTCCAGTCCAGAGTGGGGCTGGTGAAAGGCTTTTTCCTTCTCCAAAACTTACTTTGCAAGACAGACTATAATGAGACAGCAAGCTGTCACCAGCAGAAGAGACTGAGACCTTTATCAACAAAGGTGAATTAACTGAGCGGGTATTTGTGGTTCTCATTTACCCCCAAACTTCCTGGGTCTAGGTGTCTTCCAAGTAGGCCTCTAATTCCTGCCTTTGCTGTGTGCACATCTGTCAGCCAGAAAGCCTATGAGGTGAAATGTACAAAGCTCACACTGTATAGACTGGGTGAGAAAGATGCTGAGGAGAGAGTATAGGCCTCAGAGGGGGCAGGCTTAGCCTTTTCCACAGAGCCAAGGGTCCTTTACTTCAGGCTGACTCTAGGTCATCTCTGGGGAACATCTCAGCCACACCTGGACCTCAGGACACAATCCTTCTGTGCTAGCTTCTGCCCTCCTCTTCATTCTCCGGTTGCTCTATTACATTCTTCAGCTTAGGCCCTGACTGTCTGCCCTGGTAGCTTTCTGTAACATAATAAGTAATCTGTAATGAAGTCTGCAAAGTACTCTTGATGTTTTTGTCTTTGTAATAGTTAACAAATAAATCTAGGTTTTCTATACCATTGTGGTTTTGTTCTTGACTAAAACCATTAATGAGAAAAAATTCAGATTTATTATTATTTTATGTGTATGAGTGTTTTTCCTGTGTGTATGCATGTATAACGTGCATGCCTAGTGCCCATGGAAGTCTGAAGAGGGTGTTGTTACCACTGGAACTGGAGTTAACAGGCACTTGTGAACTGCCATGTGGGTGCTGGGAATTGACCCTAGGTCCTCTACAAGAGCATCAAGTATTTTTAACTGCCGAACCATCTTTGCAGCCCAGTACTTGCTATTCTTTGGAGGACCCGAGCCCAGTTCCTCCAAATCTATCGGGCAGCTCACTGCTGCTATAATGCCAACCTCTTCTGGTTTCCATGGGCACTCAGATAAACATGCAAAGACATACACCCATACACATAAATAAGTAATAAAGTGATGCTGGGGCTGGGGCTGTAGATTAGTTGCTAGAGTGCTGGTCTAGCTACAGGAAGCCCTGGGTTTAGTTCCTAGCATTTTATAAACTAGGCCTGGTTGTATATGCCTATAATCCTAGCACTCAAGAGGTAGAAATAGGAGGATCAGAAACTAAAGGTCATCCTCAGCTAGGTATCACATAAATACAAAAGTAATATATTAATACTTGGGGGCTAGAGAGAAGTCTCAGCAGTTAAGAGCTTGTACTGCTCTCTGCAGAGGATCTAACTTTGTTTCCCATCCCACATGTCAGACAGCTCACAGTCAACCTATATCTCTAGCTCTGCAGGATCCAGCAGCTCTAGCATCCACAGGCATCTGTGTGTGCGCATGGAAACCTAAGACTGACATTGGGGTCTTCCTCACGCTATTTTTCTTTTTTTGAGACAGTCTCAGTGTATAGCCCAGGCTGGCTCAGAACTCACTGTGTAGACCAGCCTGGCCCAGAATTCACAGGGATCCACTGCCTCTGCCTTCTTAGTGCTGGAATTAAAGGCATGTGCCACTATGCTCATTTTTACTTTTAGTTATCTGTATGTACATGCCAGTGTGGTTGCCTAAGGAAGCAAGAGGGTGTCAGATCCCCTAGATCTGGAGTTACAGGCAACTGTAGGCTGTGTGATGTTGCTGGGAAGTGAACTTCAGGAATAGTATGCACTTTTAACACTGAACCATCTCACCGGGCAGTGGTGGTGCCCGCCTTTAATCCCAGCACTAGGGAGGCAGAGGCAGGTGGATCTCTCTGAGTTTGAGGCCAGCCTAGTCTACAGAGTGAATTCCAGGAAAGGCTCCAAAGCTACACACAGAAACCCTGTCTTCAAAACAAAACAAAACAAAAAACGAACCATCTATCCAGCTCCATCCACCTCCTTCCCTCCTTCTTTCCTTCCTTCCTTTGTTTTTCAAGACAGGGTTTCTCTGTAGCTTTGAATCCTGGCCAGAAGTTTTTCACTGAGTTTCTCATCCTGCAAAGTAAGCCAAAAACATTTCTTTTGCCTTTTTGTATCTTAAAAACTGGATTTTCAGAAGTTTTCAATTTGTTAGACTAAGCCAGGTTAAGAGGCCAATTGATTATAAAAATTAAAATTTTCTGAGGCCTCTTCAGCAGCAGCCACTGCTCTGGGTTCTTCCCATATATGGTGTGTGAGGCAGCAGTGATGCTTTTAGCACCGTGCTAGGAGGAGCTGAGTCCTGGAGAGAGGACTCTCCTAAAGCTCTGCAGATATTGAACTGTGTATTTTAAGACTATTTTCCAAAAACACTGTACAGCCTTAATACCTACCAGCAGCCGGCACTCAGTGCAAACTCCCTTCTACAAATTCCTCTACTCTCAGTTTAAATGCACCCATAATTTATCCTAGGAATGTGCTCATTGTTCACTAGGGGCCACGACTTTCTCATGGGTTGATTATAGAAATCTTCTTGAATCTTTCTAACGAAGTGGTTCTCAAACTGGGTTGCATCCCCTTTAGAGGTCAAATGACCCTTTCACAGGGTCACCTAAGACCATCAGAAAACACAGATATTTACATTATGATTCCTAACAGTAGCAAAATTACAGACATGAAGTAGCAACAAAAATAATTTTATGGTTAGGGTCACCACAACATGTGAAACATATTAAAGGGTTGCAGAATTAGGAAGGTTGAGAACCACTGCTCGAAAGGAACAAGTTTCAGGAAATTATGTGCACTCTTCTTTCTATGGGGTTTACAGTGGTTGGCTTGCTACTGCAGGTGACACAGTCAAAAGGGGGGGGACTAGCTGTCAGTTCTGTTTTAGTAGACATCTGGGCTTACTCTGTCACCTGTAAATGAGGGTGTGATACTTCAAAGACTTGTCTATCATTCTGAAAGGTCAGGTCAGACTTCTTAAAAATTAAACTCAGCCTGCTTCAGGAGGGAGAGGCAGGTGGATCTCTGTGAGTTCAAGGCCAGGGCTACATAGTGAGACCCTGTTTCAAAAATGAAAGAAAAATAGATTAATTTGTAATTATCAGCAAGCTACCATTTACTGTTTCTATTTTAGCTTTATTTATTTATTTTTAATTTTTGTGCTTAATTTTGTTACTGAAATTGTCCTGCTTACATAATTTTGTAGACATTCTTCTCTTCAGTTTGACTCATTGAAATATCACAGAAAAGTAGGGCTGGCAGTTCTGTTTTCAAATCTATCATTAAAAGCAAACAAAACACCATTGAGAACACTGGTTGCTCTTCCCTTGTGGCCTTCAGAGGCACTGCATATACTTGGTGCGCAAACATACATATAGACAAAACCCATACACATAATCTGGTGTCTGGTTGGAAGGGTTTCATAATTTCAAATGAGAAGTCAGAGACTAGGTATGGTGTGTAATCCCAGCACTTGGAAGGTAGAAACAGGAGGCGCAGGAGTTTGAGCCTGGCCTGAACAATGAAATCAGACCCTGTCTTTTAGAGAAGTAGCTTGAGGGATAAGGGAGCTAAATCACATATATACAGGGTAACTGATACTGCTTGGAATTTTTTGAGATTGTTTTAGAGATTATTAATCATTGGTATACATAACATGCTTATCACAGCAGTGCCTAGGAAGTAGCTTAACAGCTATTGGCAAGGTTAGTACTGGCTTCATTTTGTTTATTTATTTTGAGGCAGGAGTGTGTGATGCCCAGACTGGGCTTGAGTTTGCCATGTAGTTTAGGGTGACCTTAACCTTTTCATCCTCCTTCCTCTACCTCCTAAGGCTGAGATTACAGCCACGGCCAGTCTTGATGTGGTTCTAGGGATCTAGCTCAGGGCCCTTGCATGGTAGATAGACAACACCAACTGAGCTGCATCCAAGCCCTAATGTTGACTTCAAGAGAAGGTGTAACTAACCCGCCACTGAGGTTAGGATACATCTAAGAAACTTGAAATGCAAAATTCCACTAAGCAGTTAAACATGAAGCCCATGCTTTTTTACTAGCACCTGCAGGCCTTGCACTGCAGGTTCCTGCTTTTGCTCTGTAAAAAGACCTAATGCAGTGTCTGGTTTCCAGAACATCAGATGAGTAGAGGGAAGGAGTTGTTGAGGTCATTTCAACAAGAACAGTGAATTACTACAGCATTATGATGAAAAGCAAATACAGAATCCTTCCAAATAAACAGTCTAAGTACATTGTAGTGCAGAGTTAAGCTCTCAACATGGAGATAGCAATTTTCATAAAATAACAGAATTGTAGTGCTAAATCCATCCAAATGTAGCTAGCTTAAGCAGGAAAGAAGCCGTTAAGAGAACTGAGGACATAGATTAGTGGTGGCACACTTACCTAGCATGCACAAAGCCTGGGTTCATCCTCAGCATCACTCTCAAAAAATAAATAAATAAATAAATAATAAATAAAAAACACAAACAAAAACTTGGACAAAGCTGAAATAAACCAGATCCCTAAAGTGAATTAGAGATCAGGAGTAGTTACATAGTGTGAATCCTTTGCTGGTATTAGATGGGTTTAACTGTTACCTTGCTCACCACAGTCAAGGTTCAGTGTTAGCTTGGATGTTTATAAATTGCAAAACCAGAGATCATCTGGCCCTTTCAGCTTTAATAGAAACACACTGGGCCTGTCCAGACTCACTCAGGAAGGATTTATAAATGCTCACTTATGAGAAATGTACAGGGCTAGAGAAATGGCTCAGCCATTAAAGGCTAGGCTCACAACCAAAAATATAAGAGAAATGTACAGTATCTATTGCAACTGTGAGTCTAAAGTATGTGTGTATGGATGGGTGGATAGAAAATGACAGTTGATATTGTGTTCGATTGGACATAGAATAAGCACACAGTTGCATTTGGTTAAGTTGTAGTTAGTATGTGTTAGTATGATAGACAGGAAAGGGATATAGCAGGCATGTTTGTGACAGTGATTGTCCAAATGACTTAAACTAAGTAGAAAAGAATACTTAAGATCTTTGGAAATGAGGTACTAGAGTGAGGGAGCTAAAAAGCGGTTAGAATTGGAGGTTAGATTATTTGAGCTCATAGATTTTGTTTACTGATAATGACAAGCTTGTAGCTAAGCGGAACGCTGAGGCCAAGACATTGGAAGGATCCTTTTGTGGGTTTCAGTTACCGAGACACAGAGTAATGTAATGTTCCACAAAGAGGAGGGAACTAAGATCTTAAAAGGGGGGTGGGAGAGATGGTTAAGAGCACACGCTGCTCTTCCAGAGGACCCGAGCTCAGAACTGCCTAGAGTTCCAGGGGATTCAACAGTCCTCTACACACACACACACACACCATGTACTGACGCAGACACATTAAAATAAATTGTTTTCTTTAATAAAGGAAAGAGCTGTTTATTTTGGCTTAATGGTTTCAGAGGGACGAGAGTCCATCATGGCAAGGTAGAGGCATGGCAAGCAGCAGGCATAGTGACAGGAGCAGAAAGCTCACAGAACACAAATACACAACAGAGAGCAAAACAGAAGCAGGCCTAGATTATGTACTCTCAAAGCTCACCCCCAGTGTCATACTTACCCAGAAGGCTGCACCTCTTAAACCTTTCCCAAAATAAAAGAACACTAGCAACTCAAGCAGCAGTGAGGACAGGAACTTCCTCCTCAAGGGCCAGTGGGCAGAAAGTGGCAGAAAAAAGTGCCACCCTGAGAGGAATGCAGGGCAAACAGCAGATGCAGTGCTCATAATCACTGCTGGAGGTCAGAGGTCAGGCATTTCCACGGTAATAACCCCTCCCCTTTCGGTCAAGCCATGGAACATGCGTGTTAGTAAAGTGAATAAAAAGTTCCTACGTTCTGTGAAACTAAAGAAAACTCAGCTTCATTTTGGAAGGCAAGGGGTGGTTTTAAGGAGAATGGTCATTATTTGGTAGTGTTGCCAGGATGGAGTGCAGGTGTCAAATTTGAAGAGAAGCCAGAACTATGAGTGTTTGTATAAAAATATATGTGAAAGTGGCCTGATACAGGCCAGGTCAGATAGAATATGCCCTCACCGCTACTTCAGTTAAAACAGACCATCAGCTACCTCAGTACTCCACAGTTACCTATTGTGTCACCCCCATGAGTACTTTTGTTAAGGTGTTTTTTTTCTAAAAAGATTTTATTTGGAGGTAGGTTTAGGAGGTACACATTTTTGGAGGAAGTATGTTACTGGGGAAGAGCTTTGAAAGCACATGCATTTAGTCACCCTGTCACAATTTTGAAGTACTATTATGATACATACTAGTGCATGATAAAGCTTCTGATTATCTAACTGGCTTCTGTGGTGGACTCAGCTGCACTGCCCCAGCCACTGTCTGTAAAGTCATCACCACACAGTGCTTGTGTTAGCTGGCAGTTTACCAGCTGAATGCTCATTGTTACTCAAGCAGGTCGTATCTCACCCCACCACCCCCCTTATAAAACCAGTATCCCGGTCAAGGAATATGCACAGATTATATGGCCTGCAATTTTTCTAATTAGACTTGAAGGCCAGCAAGACAGCTTGGTGGGGTAAAGGCATTGCAGCACAAGCCTGGCAAGCCGAGTTCCATCACCAGAACCTAAGTAAAGGTAGAAGCAAACCTAATGACATGGAAGTAAGGATCCATGGAGACATGCTCTTATCTCCAAATGCATGCCATAGCATGCACTTACACATTTTACACACAAAAATAATGACATAAAATTTTAAATAGAAAAAAATGGACTTTGTAATAAGGCTTCCAGTGAAGAAAAGTTAAGGCTTTTTAAAACTTAAAAATGTCCTGGAGAGATGACTCAGTGGTTAAGAGCACTGGCTGCTGTCCAGAGGACCTGAGTTTAGTTCCCAGCACCCACATGGGAGTTCACAACCTGTAACTCCAACTCCAGGGGACCCTCTTCTAGCATCCTTGGGTACCTGCACAAATATGTGCATATATATACATGCGCTTGCACGTGCGTGCGCGTGCGCGTGCACACACACACACACACACACACACACACACACACACA